ATAGTTTTCAGAATTAAAATATTATAATTAAATAATTTACATTTACATTTATACAATTCATGTAATTGATCTTCTAAAGCTTATTTTAAGAAGGTAAATTTCATACCTTGACTATTCCGCAGCTCTTCAAGTATTAACCTTTGTTAATTTCGCCCTCTAATTTCCTCTTAATTCTTTTGCACAACCACTGACCACTTCCTATTGCTCAATCTACGATCATCTCTGCTGAATCTAATCATGTCTTCCCAATCACAAGAAAAACTGAAGTATTTCTTCAAATCAAAAATAATTAAGATTTAGATATTTATGTCAAAGTAAAGACAACAGGTAGAACTTACCTCACAATCTTTCTTTCTTCTTCTTTTGCAAAATCAAAAATCCATTTCAACATTTCAATCATATACTTTGCAACTTTCAGAGTTCTAACATTATTTAGACAGATCTAATATTAAAAATTAAAAAAGTTTAAACCAAAGTAACTATTTATGAAATTAAAATAAACCCTAAGCATTAATTTTCCTTACTAGCTTCATGGCTTGTACTTCTGCTACTGTTCAGTGTGCTAAATACCTGCAGGGATCACACGCCAACTAGCTAGGCGCACAACCTGCAGGTGTCATCGATGCTCATGCAAAAACACAATACTCAACCCTTATGCACAGTTAGCCGTTGAACAACACAACACCCTTTCTCGTCGATCGCCAGCTCAACACCCTCGCTCGACAATCAGCAGCTCAATGCTTAGTTGTTTGCTGATGCATGCAGCACTCGCCACTGATCATCACCCACATGCGATTAGCGCGCGCAATGTTCAATCCAATGGCTTTGCCGCTCAAATGCATTGTTCATCCTGCTATAGAAATGCTCTAATTGTTGTTAACACCTCCTACACGAGAATGTCTCCCTCGCGCTTCATTTCACTCGTCTATTTGCTCAGTATGAAGCCAGATACTCCCCTCCTTCAACTCCAATAGCGGAACCAACTCATCAGTTTTGTCGAACCAAAGTCACGGGTCAATTTTTTTACCAGATTTTTACACACTTGACATGCACTCAGACTAAAAATTTTCTATCCAGCCAATCCTTAACAATTTTTTGTACTTCAAGGAATCCATAAGTGGCATGCTTATAAAAATCAAAATCAGAGGCATTTATGATAAAATTTTATCAATTCAATTTTAAATTTATGTTTTCCATGTTGTGAATGCTTATAGAATGGGGGATGCCTTTGAGTATGAATCCCCCTGAGTATGATGCAACTGCAATATTAAATTCGAGAGAAAGTTATCAACTTGCAGTGACAAGAGGCCTAAAATTTAACATTTCAACTGTCTCTTTCTTTCATCTATTTTCGTAAATAACTTTCTAAATGATGCTACAAGACATGATTTTGATCAAATTTTCTAACATTAGAATTTAATTGCGGAACAAAAATTCAATAACCTGTAATTTATTTTGTGGTTCATTTAATTTCTTTTGAATTAATAAATCAGTATATTACCATTTTGTTCTCAGGATTATGCATTTGAGTTAACAAAAGGAAAATCAATTTTGAGCAAAGAATTGACCTTTGATTTAAAAACCCAATTTCAATTGTGTAATCTACATTATTGATCATCCTAATTGCATTAGATAACCAAGACCCTCAAGCGACACACATCATCCCACCATTTACTTAATTTGAAAGTTAGACCCAATCCTTTGATGACTATTAAACTTTTATATGGCACTGCTTTTTCAAAAGCAAGGCATGTATTCTGAGATATTAGCTTCTTATTTACAATTCACTTCCCTCACTTCCCTCTACCATAGTCCATCCACCAAATGGAAGACGTCATCCTTTAATAAGAAAGAAATACAGTTGAAAAGGTAACAGCTCTTTCTTGATCAAGCTGAAGCCAGCCTAAGGGAAATTTAGTTTTTTATTAATCTAAGGGCAATTGAGTATAAATATGACTTATACTTGAGTCATTACAGATATGTATATTAGAGTTATTACTTGTGTTTGAACAGAAGGAGGTTTGATCAAGTATTTTCCTATTTCAGTTGGATCACATCAGGAATCAGGTTGAAGCCCATATCTTTTTGCTTTAGTTATGGATGCTCTTACTAGACATTTACAAGGAGGATGTACCTTGGTGTATGCTTTTCGTTGATGATATCCTTCTTGTGGATCAAAATGGAGAAAGAATTCAAGATAAATTTGAATTATAGATGTCTACATTAGAGTCTAAAGGCATTCGTTTGAGTAGATCTAAAACTAAATATATAAAATATAATTTTAGTATCAATAGATCTAGTGACATAGTTGTAACTATGAGTGATCAAATTATTAAAAGGTGAGAATATTTTTAGATATCTCAGAAGTGATGGTGATATAGATGGGGATGTTATTAGTAGAATTCAGGTTGGTTGGTTGAAGTTGATGAATGCATCAGACCTATTTTTTTGATAGAAAAGTACTTCTTAGACTTAAAGGAAAATTTAAGATGGTGGTGAGACCACAAAATTTTATAGTGCATAATGTTGGCCTTTAAAAGAGAAGCATAAAACTAAGTGTTTGCTAAGGTGAGAATGCTTGGGTGGTTGAGTGGTTTTAACACTTAAAGATTAACTGTGAGATGAATGTATCCGTGAAAGGGTTGGTGTAACTCCAGCGACATAAAAGATTAGGGAGAGTTGTCTTAGAAGGTTTGTTCACATTAAATGTCGATCATCTAATGATCCGATTAGGAGAGTAGGTGTTTTAGATTTGACTTATGTTAAGAAAGATAGGGATAGACCTAAAAATACTTTGGCATATTGTATAAAAAATGATCTAAAATTATTAGCAATAAATGAAAATATGACACTCAATAGAACACAACGGAGAAAAAAGATTCATGTAGCCTACCCCGCTTAGTGGAATAAAGGCTTGTTGTTGTTGTTGTATAAATAGACCCTAGTAGGTTTAGGGTTGGGGATGCATGAGGTTGTGTTTGGAGTCTCGGGTTTAGGATTTTGGAGAGATTTCCTACCTCTCGAATTATAGGAATTGAGAGAGAGCGTCAATCTCTCAAATTGTAGGTGTTTATCTTTTGTATTTGAATTGAATGTTTGGTTCTTGTAATAAAATATGAGTTTATCCTAATTTCTATGAAAAACTGCGTCGATTTTTGGGTCGAATCACATCAAATTAATATTATAGCTAAGTTTGATTCGAGGAGAAGGAATCGCCGCCATCACTTTTCCTAGCGGCACTCGCTGAGGAATGACAGATCGCGGCGTACAGCAAGAGCATCACTCACGGTTTGTGCTTTCTAAGAAACAACGAGGGGATCACAAATCATGCCTTACAATAGTGGTAGTTGGGGAGCATCGACAGGATCGCGACTTATATAACCGCCGTGGATGTGGTGTAGCAGTGATAATGAAATCGCCCTGATGTATAGAGCCTCCATGGGGGCGATCCTTCTCCTCCTTCGATTAGGAGTCAATATAGTCGTGGTTGCCAAAATTTGTGACCAAGGCAATGACGGGATCACAACTTACAAAGACACAGAACTATTTTTTCCTCCTCCATCTTCGTTTTGAAGATCGTGGCGTACAACGACTCAAAAATTGTGTGCTAGTTGGAAAGAAGAGGGTGGATCTTTTGTCTCCTGTGAAAACATACAAGTTAAGCTTGTTGCGAAGCATCAAGATTTAAGCTGATTTTTCCACGAGGTTCAAGCTAGCTGACCGCGATCGAACCAAGAAAAACAGTCATGATTCAAACCAATTAAAGGATTACGACATACAGGCTTTGAAAACGGCAAGAAGTAATGGCGGCCCAAAAAATAGATGATTTGGTGGAAAAATTGAAATTTGGAGCATGTGAGCCAATCAGATCTAGAATGGAGGATCATTTCTCGTCAATGGAGGGGTGATTTTCGTCCATCGAGGGGCAATTTTCGTCCAAGGAGAGCATATTTACGATCTTTGAAAAATAATAAAGAAATTGGTCGAGTTTCACGCAAACCAGCAGCCACTTGCAATAGGATCGAGCAACGGCATCGGAAGCGGACTCAAGCAGAAACTCTTGGAAGGAGTAATACGACACCCGGACAGTTGGAAGGAGTGTCGGTAGATGGAATGAGATGGCATGTGATTCGAGGCTGGAGAGGATTAATTTGAAGGATTTTGGCCTGAAACAGGGAACCAGGACACCGGTAGAGGGTTGCATCTAAGTGCGCCGGCGCCATTTGCTGCAACAGCATTCCAAGCAGAAGGAGAAGCAAAAACCTATGGGGACAAACGGGCAGAATATTGGACGAGCCAGACTTATGGAAGGAGGGAATGATAATTCAATATGGGTTGTGAAATAGAACCCAACCCCCGCTTCATGGAGGAATGAACTTTGGTCGAGAGAATTGGGGAGAAGACGCACGTGAGTGGGTGTACTGGGTGGAGCTGGTGAATGGGCTAAATGGGGAGGATAAGCTCATGGCAGCAGAGTTATATCTGGAGGGGAAAGCCTTAACATGGTTTAAGTAGAGGGAGGCTAAATACTCTATCCGCTCGTGGGAAAAATTTAATGATTACTTGTTGGAACATTTCTGAGCCATTCGGGAAGGAGACTTACAGAAGTAGTTCATTGCATTGAACTTTTGTTCTTTTTTTTAAGAACCATGGCATCATTCTAAACATTTAAGGATAACAACTCAGAAACTAAAACATGAAAGTGGAAATGGAAACGATAGTGCCAAATTTTTAGTATTTTAAGTTGAATGTAACCAACAAAAATAACACAAAGACTGATGGTTCAATGAACTAAATATGCTAAAAAAATAAAAGAAGAAAGAATGAATATAATTGGTATAGTGTACAAACATCATTATCACCATTATATATATATATACATATAGTTTGCCATGTAGCATGTAGATTCATCATTCCCATTCTTTAGCAATAAGATCTGCATAACCTATTAGCAACTGTTCATATAATCATAATAAATAACAACTGAAAAAAGGACTCACCTGGAAATAGGATGCTCCTCTAATCCGAGACTTCTGATGGTGTCATACACCTTGATTCAATACAGACAGAATTAGAATGATCACAGCAACATACAGAAAATATAATATTGGTAGGTTAAGAATGCAAATGCTCAAAAATCATCAGATAAGTATTACTCTACATGTTTCAAAATACAAAATGCCTCGCCAAACATTGAATCTTCTATACTGAATATCAGAGGCTATATGGCTAGAAATTAAGGCATTAAAGAAAAGGTCAGACAATCAGCTTGCGTAAACTCACTCACCGGAAGACATGTGATAAGTTGAAATTCATTTTTGCAAATGGGGCAGAGATTTGTGATGATAGCCCAGTTATCAATGCATGCAAAACAAAACCTGTGTTGCACAGAGTAAAATCATTTTATAAGCATATTTTTGCTCCCAGCTAGTAACTCCAATAAGAAATTAATGCAGCATTGTTATTATAAAAAAATGCTAAAAATACATAATGCAAAGGACTATTAAATGAAAAATACGAGAGAAAAACTAAAATCCAAGCTCCAAATGCCAGTTTAAAAATAAGAAGTTGAAAACAGGGTGAGAAAGGTTTGCATGGATTGGCAACCATTGAACGAAACCGAACAGCGGGCAAAGAAAAATATATAAGCACCAGTGGGAATACCAGATAGACTTGTGCGTATGTTTGCCTTCCTCTCCTCCTTGGCGTGAGATGAGAAGTTGAAAAGGAAATTGTGCCCCTTATTGTTGTATAAAGCAGTTAAAGGAGTAGGTGTTGCATAGAGCAGAGGAGACATGTTTGGAGGAGGGCAACTGAGAGAGGGGAGAGAATGAAGGAGCTAAGGGGAATAGAAGGGAGAAAGGTTAGGACAGTCAAACTAATTCAATTTTCCTGATAAAATAAGCACCTACTAAATGCTAAAGCAGCCTTTGTATAGCGTAGGATTCAAAAATTAACAGGCAAAGGTACCCAAAGATATGTAAATATAGTCCATGCAGGCCAACTCCATGAGATGAACCATATAACATATAGTAAACGTTTAAATTTGGTAACCGGTAAGAGCAATGCAAAGCAAAAAGGGCCTTTAACTGACACGGGGCTCGGGGGAGGACCAGCCGGTCCTCAAGTGAGGGGGGGCTGCCGCCCACCGCGCCAAACACCCCCCGTAGCTCAACCCCGATGAGATATTTATCTATCCATTCACCCTTTCTGCTGCTGTTCACCAGCTTTCCAGCCCTACAAAAGGCCTCCGCACCTCTTCCCCAACAACCACTGGTTGTTCTCATCCCTCCAACCTGCTGCCAGCCATCTCCCAGCTAGGCCGCAACTCCCCATACTCTATCCCAACAGTCAGCCACCCTTCCTGAATAACACAATCTTGTTGTACACCTTCCCACAATTCGTCCCAAAAAATAAAAAAGAATGCATCAACACGCCAACAAAAAAATCCGAAGGTTTTGGTTTTACTCTCCAAAGTAACCTTAGCCTTCTATCTTTTTAGGGTTCGCATCCCCAAAGTGAACCCTAGACCTCCTCCTCCATCTCCAAAATGTCTTAAACGACCCTAATCAAATCAATCAACTTTACACTACATACTTATATGTTGTTGGAATACATGCTTAGGACTGTTGATTAATCTAAGTTTAATTGAGTCAAGTTTGTTCCTTAATCTTAGGAATTAGTTGTTATTTTTCTTGATTTTGTTTCTTGTTATTTTATTGGCTGATTTTTAGGTCTTTTTCTTGGAAGTTTGTTATTAGCTACAAGTTTCAAATATTGTAAGGCTACAACCCTTCGATCTACAGCAATTCTCTTAAGTTTTCTCTTCTTTCTCATTTCAAGAAACCAACAATTTGGTATCAGAGCTCTCTTCTTAAGGGACTTGTGTGCGAGTTTGAGTAGTTATGGAGATCGAACCTAGTTTTTCCTCAGTTGCTCCACCAGTGTTTGACGGAGACAACTACTGGATCTGGGCAGTCAGCATGGAGACATATCTGGAAGCTTTGGATCTTTGGGAAACAGTGGAAGAAGACTATGACATTCCTCTTCTCCCTGAAAATCCCACCGTAGCACAAATTGCACAAATTAAAGCACAAAAGG